AGCAGGAGGACCAGAAGCGCGAGCTGCAGATGAGCCACATCAACGAGCGCGTCAAGACAGGGCCCGGCTTCACGGAGCGGACGTAATTTTGTTTCCGCCCATTGTTGACCATCCTACATGTAAATTCCCTGCATCAGATCGAGGGTGAGCGGGACTGCGAGACTGAAAAATGAAATTGGAGGTCCAGGGTCTGATCAGGAAGCCGGCGTTCATCATTGTATGGCCTTGAGCAACACAAGACTGTCACGATGCAGATAGCTCCAGAAGGCACAGCATCTCGATTCGAGTAATATATCAAAAAAAAAAATTGTTTCAAAATGGTTCCTATCCTATACTATCCTATGCTATCTGCCTGCCTAGATGCGCTGTTGTGGCCGTAGCCAAAAGAGTGAGAGCGAGAACGCCGAGTAGAGTATGGTGCGTCGCTTGACGAGCCCCTAATCATACAGGTCGAGGAAGGGTGATACTAGCCCAACTTCGATGCAAACCAAAAGCAGTTCGAATGAGAAGATAGCGGTGTCATGCCGCACCAGAACGGTCCCAATCTCAGTCGTGTGGTATCAGAAAAACATTTGTAACCCAATCCTGCCCGGCTCCATGGAACACCAAAAAAAATAAAGGAAGAAAAGAAATCAAAAAAAAAAAATGAAATAGATCGAGTCTCGTTCATCCGTCAATGCATTTGGACAACATCAGAGCCGTTGCCCTGGACCCTTCCCATCAGCACCACCCGTCCTGAAGTACTGGCCAACGGTACCGAAAGCATACGAAATGCCTCCAACCCACGCGGCACCCAACAGCACCTTCTTGGTCTTGCCGGCCCTCTTTGGTTCCTCGTCTGCTGCAAACCCGCTGGCAGCAGGGCCCGCACCTGATGCGCCGTAGCCTCCTCGGTAAGGCGGGGGTGGCTTCTGGTCCACCTCGGCACTGTCATCTTCAAAGTTCACGAACCCTGTCGGGCTCGCCGAGTATGAGTGTGGGGTGACGGGCTGACTGCCCATCATGTCAATGGGGTTCACCCTTGGGGGCTGGTATCTCGTGGCCTGTTCCGTTGTCGGATGAGTGCTGCTCGTCTCTTGCTGGGCGTTGCGGACCTTGCGAAACACAAGGACGTCTCCGTTCCCAGAGACAATCTCGTACCCCTGCGCCTGAAGCGGTGCTAGGTGCGGGAAGAACTTGACGGGATTGGACAGACGCATCATTGCCTCTGGTGGCGTCAGTGGGACAGAGCTGTCTATGGCAAGCGACGACGTCTCAGCAGTGCTAATGGAATTGGTCGTCGGATCGAAAGCCAGAATCTTGTAGTATGATGGCTTGGGAGCCGCCTCCTTGGCAGGCTCAGCTGCATGAGAGGCTGCCTTTGCCTGTGTTGCGGCAGCCGAGACAGCGTCGCTAACTGTTCCATAGGTTCTGACAAAAGTAGGACCAGTAGGCTTGCCGCCGCATTCTTGCAGGTAGCTGAGCTCTAGTCCTTGAGGCTCCGTAGAGTATGGATCTGCGAGTGTACGCAGTCGATCAGCCCGCTTCTGGCTGTCAAGGAGAGACGACCCACGGTTCAACGCCGGCTCGATTTTGTGCAGAGCTGGAGTGAAAGCTTGGGGTTCTATGGTGGACTCAAGCTTGGGAAAACTCTCGTCAAAGGATGCAATGTCCTCATCGCCTTGCTCCGGCTCCCGCGTGCCGTTTTCGAGTTTCTTTTGATATTCCATTGCGGCAGCATTTTGCCCAAGCATCGCGCTCCAAGAGACGGCGAAATCCTCGGGGAAGTCCTTCACATAGTTGCCAGTGACATTTCGGGTCGCCTCATTCGAGTCCTGCGACTTTATCCTGGACTGCTTGAGGGTTGTCTTGGCTGCCTTGTTCGCATTCTCCCATTCCCGACCATACCGTGAATTGTCTCTTTCCAATGATTCCGTGTCCAGTGCAGCGCGCATCTTTTGAGTTGCGCTCCGCAGACTGCAATGACTTGCACGCAGATCGCTTGCGGCAGCAGATCGATATCCTCTGCCTTGCCGTCAGGTTCATTGTAACGAAAAGCTCCGTAGTTGAAAAAATCTTCTGTTACAGCGGATTTATTTTGCTGCGCTGGAGGTCTGCCATCGGGCTCATTGTGCTGGAATGGCTCGGAGTAGTCGGAGAGGTCCTTATAACGCTTGCTGGCTTCTTCGGGGTCCATAGGAGGTTGCCCGTTGGGCTCGTTCCAGCGGACTGGCTTGTATTGGTCGAGATCGTTATATTGCTTGCTGGCTTCCTCTGGAGTAATGGCGGGCTTGCCGTCAGGTTCGTTGTGAGCAAAAGGCCTGTCATATTGGTCCAAGTCATCATACTGCTTACTCGCTTCTTCAGGGCTCATAGATGGCTTGCCATCGGGCTCGTTCCACCGAATTGGCTGATAACTGTCGACGTCATCGTATTGTTTGCTGGCCTCTTCAGCAGTCATTGCTGGTCGGCCGTCGGGCTCATTCCACCTGACAGGCTGGTAGGCATCCAAGTCCGCGTACCGCTTCGAAAGTTCCTCTGGGGTAAGGGGAAGGTTCCCGTCGGGCTCGTTCCACTGAACCGGTCCATACTGATCAAGGTCTTGATACTTCTTCGAACGCTCTTCGGCAGACATGGGAGGCTTGCCATTCGGTTCGTTCCACATGACGGGCTGACCATATGCGTCCAAGTCTGTGTAGTGCTTGGATCGTTCCTCAGCAGTTGGTGGCAATTGGCCATTGGGCTCGTTCCACATAACAGGTCCGTAACTGTCGAGATCGGCGTAGAATTTCGACTGCTCTTCGGCACTGATCGGAAGTTTCCCGTTGGGTTCATTCCAATAGACAGGACCATACTTGTGCAGATCATCATACTGCTTAGAGAGTTCCTCGGATGTTGGTGGCAGTTTGCCATTGGGCTCATTAAACAGTACGGGCTGATATTGGTCGAGGTCGGTGTACTGTTTCGAGACCTCTTCAGCCGAAGGAGGAAATTTACCATCTGGTTCATTGAATCGCACTGGCCCGTATTTGTCCAGGTCCGTGTAGTTCTTTGAAAGCTCCTCAGAGGTGGGTGGGAGTTTCCCGTTGGGTTCATTGAATCGCACAGCATGGTAGTTGTCCAGATCTGTGTACTGCTTTGAGAGCTCTTCTTGGGTGGGTGGAAGCTTCCCAGTGGGTTCGTTGAACCGCACAGCACGATACTCGTTCAGATCTGTGTACTGTTTGGAGAGCTCCTCTTGTGTAGGCGGCAGCTTCCCCTCGGGCTCATTGAATCGCACGGGACGGTATTCATCAAGATCCGTGTATTGCTTGGAAAGCTCCTCGGGGGTGAGCGGGGGCTTTCCGTGGGGTTCATTGAACTGCACGGCACGGTACGCGCCAAGATCCGTGTATTGCTTGGAAAGCTCTTCCTGTGTGAGCGGCAATTTCCCACTTGGCTCGTTGAAACGCACTGGCTGATAACTGTCCAGGTCGGAATATTGTTTGGATACTTCCTCTGCAGTAGGAGGAAGGTTGCCATTCGGTTCGTTAAAGCTGATAGGGCGGTATTTGTCCAGATCTGAGTAATGTTTCGACCTCTCTTCGGCAGATGGCGGGGCCTCCCCATGGGGTTCCCTCCATGCGACAGGGACGTACTTGTGAAGGTCGTTATACTTGTGAGTGCCCTCGGTCGCCGCAGGTGCCGAAGATGCGGCGTTGTGGACATCAACGGGGCCGTATTTGTGGAGATCATTGTATTTCGGCTCGACATCGTGAGCGGTATCCACCTGATCAACGAGCGGTTTATATTTGTGGAGATCGCTGTACTTCTGCGCTGAGCTGGCGTGGGCTGGGGCAGAGCTGCTCAGGACGGGCTTGTACTCGTTAAGATCGGAGTATTTGTTGGACCTAAGCTGAACGGTAACCCATGGCTGATCGTCAATATCGACCTGGCGGTATTTACGCAGCTCCTGGGCCGATGGTGGGCCATCCGAATGCACTGGCGTCCTGAGGAAACTAGCCTTCAGGGCTTTGGCGAGGATCGTGTTGCGTTCAGTGTACGCAGGGATCCTACGATTGGTGATGGGGTCAATTGGAGCGTAGGGACTTGTCAATGATGGTGTCGGATCGTTGCCAGACCCTCGGCTTGTGAGGTGGGTGCGGGCCTGCCCGCGGTGTAATGAAGCTGTCAGGGCACGAGTGGTGGATGTAGATGAGGCACTTTGGAGAAGCTTGGCTCGAGCCGAGGCAGAGGATGCAGTTGTCGTCAACATGGTGAAGACGAGCTACGGCAGTCTATATCATGCTAATAACTGAGAGAAGAAGAGGTGAGCAGACACGAACTTGGTCACAACCTATGTAAAAAGAGTCGGGGAGCATGCGACATTTGTTCTTTCTGAGGCCTGGTACAAGTGCGGAGAAATCAGGAATGACGAAGGTGGCAGCCCGTGCTTTACATGGGTGATTCAAGGCACGTAAGGCCAGGGTGCGCAATAGACCAGGGGTTGGGTGTGAAAGTGAGACGACTTACATGGGGATGTGGAAAGATCACCGGCGCTCGTGTGATGTTGGGTGCAGGAGCATGAAGGAATAAATAGAAGGAGAGAAAGATTGAAATACCAGGTCAAGTGCTGGAGAAGTAAAGACAAAGGAAACCAGCTGTTGCTTCCTTCTTCGGCTCAACGAGCTCGAGGTCAGGCGCTTTGGGGGCGCGCGCACCTGGGGAAGTGGCCGAATGGGGGTGCCTGCCTTCCAGCCGGATGAGGTCGGGCGAATGCGAGGCCTCATTGCCGCCATTGCCCGCGATAAGACACGCTAATCGGGATTCGGCCAATGGGCGACGTGGGCGGAGGCTCAGCTAACGCGGGGTAATGATCCACTTGCCCCCTACCCTGTGAAACCCACCATGCGAGCCAATCATCGTAGGCTCGCCTACCTTCGCCCACCTTGGGCGTGAGAAGTGTCATCACGTGTCTCAGTTCGCTCAGTGCCCCACCATGACAGCATCGGTCAGTCAGTTCCTACCTTGAGACCGATGGAGGGGCTACTCCAAAATCTGATCGGCCTGAGTCAACTGCTGAGCACGTCAAACGGGCACTCGCCTCAAACCGGAAGGAAAAAAAGACCTCGCGCCGACGAGACCCATGATAGCTGATGCCGCTATTTTTTTTTCATCCTCCTGTTTGCGAAGCTTTTCATTGTCGCGTCGCGCAACTCCGAAGCGCTCGTTAGGTCAAGCCAGCGCCGACTCTTCCCCCGCCTAACACCTCATTTCGACACTCCCCCCATCGCGGCACCATCGCCCGCACCTTTGCCCCCGATGTCACGAGCTCAAGGTAGAAGCTCTCGCTTTCCTGGCGCCAGTGCCTTTGCCAGCAGCTCCCACCCGGGTACGTCAGGATTCGGCGGCTTCTCGTCAACCCAGACCGGCAGCGGTCTCTCCTACCTGACCGAGCCTCCCGATTTCTCCTCCATTTCTGATGCGAATGTTGGTGTCGCCTTCAAGAACTTGCTCAAGAAAGATGCCACAACCAAGACAAAAGCCCTGGAGGAGCTCGTGGCATATGTGAGAGCGCACCCTCACGAGCAGCATGGAGGGCCCGAAGAGGCGATTCTGGAAGCTTGGGTGCGTCCCCCTGGTGCCTGCGAACTTGTGTGCGAGCAGCTAGTAATGTATATAATAGGTTCAAGTGTACCCTCGTATCTCAATAGACAATGCCCGACGGGCGCGCGAGCTCTCACATACCCTGCAATTCGAACTTATGAAATCTGCGAGAAAGCGCATGGAGAAACGGGTGCCGAAAGTGGTTGGCACCTGGCTCGCGGGCACAACAGACAAGGATCGCGCAGTCGCAAACGCGGCCAGCCAAGGCCTCTCGTCCTTGCTGACCAACATCGACAAGGTCCTCGCTTTCTGGAAGAAATGCCAGCCTCAGATTCTCACGTACGCGGCTGACGCGATACGAGAAACCAAAGATACCCTTAGCGACGAACGATCGACGACGGCCGACGATGCGGAGGCGAAATACTACCGTGTCGTAAACTCAAGTCTGTCTTTGGTCCTTGAACTACTACAGAAGCTGGAGCAAGCCGATCTTGACGCCGAGGCGGATTCGTACGACATCTTCTTCTCAGAGGACGTGGTATGGAAGAGTGCGACCTTTGCCGACTCAGCGGTCAGGAAGGTCACCTGCGAGCTTCTATGGGTCTGTTTGGAGAAGAGACACGATTCTGTCGCATCACAAGTGCCAAGACTGAAGAAGATCTTTGTCACAGAAGGACTTAAGAGCAACCAGACCGGCTCTGCAGTTGAGTATGTGAGGGTCCTTACCCGCTTGACGCAAAAGTTTCCCGAGATCTGGTCATCAAGCAGCGACAAGAAGACGCCTATCTCTCGTCTACAGCTTTTCTTGGAAAAGGGGTCGCAGGGTAGCTCGGTCAAGTTCTGGGGCTACCTGGAGCAGTTGCTCGCAGTACTTCCAACCGAACAACTGACTCACGAATCCGCGTCCGACATTCCAAGGTCGTTGAGAGTCGGTATTGCGAGTCGTGGAGAACCTCGGATCAACGCGCCATCAGCCTGGACATGCTACGTTCGCGCCGCACGGCACTTTCTCGCCTTGTTGCCGTCCGACGGCCCCCAATCTCAATTCCTTCTTGACCATATTTTCCCTCTCATTAGCCACTACCTGAAACCCACGACGGAAACGACGGGATGGGACGTGGGAGGCAAAGCAGGTACACTGGTTCTTGTGGAAGCATTCGGCATCACCATAGACCGTCACCTTGACGGGGCTCAAACAGAGACTGCAGATGCATGGCAGCGGCTATCTGCCGAATTATGTTCCAAGATATCCAACTCCCTTCCAGAGGTGTCGAAAGACTACGAAAAGTCACAAGATGCCGTTGCCCAAGAGGGCGACCGGTGGTTCTCACTTGTCGGTCAAATCCACACCAAAATGACTGCCGCGCACCAGAAAGCGCAGGTCCTGGACCGTCCTTCCAAGGACATCGTGTTTCGCGCCATTGAATTGCTGGCGAACAGAAACCTGAAGCCTTATGGCGCTGCGAGCGTACTGCACAGTGTTGGCCGACATGCTTCCTTCATTTGGGAAGACAAATCCGTTCTGACAGCATTCGAGAAATTCCTACTTGAGCAGGGCCGTGACCACATGGACTTAATCCTTACCTCACGGTCGCGTAAAGACCTCGTCGCCTGTGTATCAGGCTTGGGAGCTTCACAAAACCAACATGCAGCATTCCTCACGATTTGGAAGACTTGGATCGACACACTTATCCTTCAGCAAGAGCAGCCTGCAGCACTCGAAGCTATCGGAAGTTTAGCAACGTCACAAGGTGGAATAACGTTTGCCTCGTCTCATGCAGGCTACCAGGACTTGTTGGCAGCAAAAGCGTCTCAATCCTTGCAAGGTTCTATCGATGCATGGTCATTCCTAGAGGAGGCCTTCATCAAAGGAACTGTCACTGATCGTGTATTGGAAAGTATCGTTCAAGAGGCACTCACTCTTCTTGGCCGAGAAAAAAAACAAACCGACAACGCCGTACGAGCCCTCGAGATTATTGCCAGCCGCAACCCTACGCAACTTTCACGGGATGATACAACGCACATGGCTCTCATTACATCTTTACTTGGCCTAGCTGAATTGGACGATTCTACCATCTCATCCCGTGCTAGCACATTGCGATCTCTCATCGACAAGCCATCAGGCGGGAAGCAAGCCGCTGTGGCAATCATACAAAGAAACTTGGAGGATGCGAATCAGCAATCACTTGGGTAGGTTGCATTGTATGTCTATAGTCCGAAAGCAACTGATTACTGACTGATAAAAGTATCGAAACACTATGTCACCAAGCTATCCAAGCCGCCGAGGGCGGCGATGTCGCTATCAAAGAACTACTCCCAAACACTACTGTATGGATGCAAGAGTTGCAAATATTCCTCCAAAGCGACGTAGATCCTTCACTGGCAATCACGAGCAATATTGCAGGACGCTCATTTCCTGGTTCAGCCTGAAGACTCCAAAGAGCAGAAGCGCATACGGTAGAGATCGGGAAAGGGCGCTCTATCCCGGCCCCGCATGGCGCTCTACACTGCTCAGCTTCTTGCATCCCACATCAATCCTCGGGGGTTGCTGGAGAAGTTCGATGTCAAGATTCTCTTTCTTCTTGCAGTTTCAATTCAACTGACGTCGGATCAAATCACGTTGAAGGATACTCACAAACTATGGGCCAGTCTAGCATACAAGAATTCTCTGCCGTCAGCGAAAGCCTAGTCTCGACTCCGAGCCGCCCACGAAGCTCGCCAAAAGAAGGCAACTGGATGGAGTCATGGAACGAGTGCTGGAACCACAGAGTGGTCAACGGCTGCTTGAATTGATGGTCACAAAAGACAAGAGACCTGACGCCGTTGGGTGTCTACAGCGCCAGAGCCCTCAATGACCTTATCGGGACTCTGACAGATCATCATGGCCCACCCTCGTCGGTCGATAATGTGCTTGCCAGATTTGACGCGGTGAAGGCATCACCTACGACTATTCTCGGCGCTGTTGCTCTCTTAGACGGATTTGGGGAGGTGCTGCAGTCATCGAAGCTCGTCAATACGCTTTGCAACCGCCTGATCAGCGACGCAGCAGGACTTTCAGCCCAATCCGACAAGACTTTGCCCACGCTTGTGCTCCTCAACACCTGCACCCGGGTCTTTGGTGTCGGAGAGATACCCGTTGCTAACAATCGATTGGTATTTGCGATCCGTCAAATCACCTCTTGGCTAGATGACCCGGTTGGCTTGACCCCAGCTCTGTCGGCGGAGATTTGTCGAGCATTGCACATGCTGCTTCCCAGCATAAAAGACGTATATGGACCGCACTGGGAGCGCACGATTGAGTTCTGCACGACGCTCTGGTCCAAGGCTGCATCTGATGATCTAGAGGACGCTATTCCTTACATCCATGCGTCTTTGAGGCTTATGAATGCCCTCGAGTCTATCTCTGAGCCTAACGATGACCTGGTAGACGCCATTCAGGAATCCGCCGAGAACAAATCGCGTGCTCTCTTGACGCTCCTCGAGATGCCGAGGGAGAAGAGCACGCAGCCGCTAGAGATTATTGACGGTCTTATCTGCCGGCAGGTTGAGAAGATCCAACTGAAGCATATTGCCGACCTCTCAGACCTCTATGGTCTCGTGTCTTCAGAGTCGCGCGACATTCAAACTGCTGCCTTCAGCTTGCTTCACCGGTCATTGCCAGCCAAACAAGAGCAGCTGTCGATTGATGTTCTTTTGGAGAAGTCTGGTATGTTATGTTTTTATCTCGAAGATGGTTGATCGGTACTGATGACCGTAACAGACGCGCGTCTACCTGATGAATTGCTCTCTCTACTGCTAGAGGCGCCGACCCTGGAAAAGTATTCAGACGAGGTTCTCGCCCAATTTCCCACGGCGATACGATCTTACCTCCTTACATGGTGCCTCGTCTTCGACGCCTACAGCACCGCATCTCTGAAAGTTCGAAACGACTATACTGAGCACTTGAAGACCGAAAATTACGTCGGCCCTCTGATGGAGTTTACGTTTGATGTTCTCGGCCACTCTGCCGCCCACGCCTTAAACCTCGATCGCGAGGGACTCGCAATCGAGCAGATCAAATCCTACGACCTCAAGGTTGCCGATTCAGAACCTGAGGAAAAGAATTTGCACTGGCTCCTCGTCCACCTGTATTATTTGACTTTGAAGTATATTCCTGGTCTTTTCAGGGCCTGGTACATAGAGTGCCGCTCGAAGCAGACCAAGATTGCAGTGGAGGCATGGATGATCAAATACTTCTCACCCTTGATCATCTCCGAGGTTCTCGACGAAGTTGCCGTCTGGGCGTCGTCGCAAGAGGCACCGGCTGCAGATGAGAACGAGTTGGTCGTCAAGGTAAGCCCGACGGCCAAGGAAATCACAGCTGGATACGAAGTCGACGAGTCACTGGCGTCCATCGCCATTCGAGTCCCGGCGGGCTACCCTCTTGAAGGCGTCAACGTCGTCGGACTCAACAGAGTTGCGGTCAATGAGCGCAAGTGGCAGAGCTGGTTGATGACGACTCAGGGTGTCATTACGTTCTCGGTAAGTTTTCTTCCCCCCTTGCATCACGATCCCGCGCTCTGGATAATAGCACGTTCCTGACATCCCGACAGAACGGCAGCATCATTGACGGCCTCACCACCTTCCGTCGCAACATCGTTGGCGCCCTCAAGGGTCAGAGCGAGTGCGCCATTTGCTACTCCATCATCTCAACGGATAAGAAGATGCCGGATAAGAAATGTTCAACCTGCAAAAACCTCTTTCACCGAACCTGCTTGTATAAGTGGTTCCAGAGCAGCAACCAGAACACATGTCCTCTGTGTCGTAACCCGATCGACTATCTTGGCTCGGATGTGAAGACGAGGAGGGCAGCAGCTGCGTGAGGTAATAGAGAATCACAGCCTCAGAGCCTTAGACACAGCAAACGAAACAAGACGTAAGGGTTGGCCCTTTAAAGATCAGAGGCCAAGCAATTGGGTACTTCGTGCAGGAGCGGTCTTGTGGAACCGATCTATAGATTTGCAGCTGTCATTGCATGGACGTGGTGGTATGAAGCAATCGAAGAATAGACACTAATTGTGTTATCACCGAGATTCTGGCTATCGTGAGACCCCACTGATTGATAATGGCACTTGCGACCCAGGTCGACTAAGAAGAGTCGACTAAGAAGAGTCGACTGAGAAGAGTCGACTAAGAAGAGTCGACTGAGAAAAGAAGGTCTCGATGGTGCTCAATGAGCCAAGACGCGATCACAATTTCGCACAGCCTGCGTCGCTCGGGATCCATCCGACCCATCTCCTCCATTTCGTACTCCATGTCATCATCGCCGTCATCGTCCGTGCCAGAAGTTTCAGCGAGCAGCGCTCTCCATACAGCGTCTGGGTGAGTTTCTTCGCCCTTCCGCTTCTTGCTGACACGGCCGGCAACGACGCGAGCCATTCTCGCATGCGCCTGAAACTCACGCTTATGGTCACTCCACCTGGGTTTGTCCTTCTTCCGGCCCGTGAGGCCCGCGGACTTCTCCCTCTCCTCTTCCTCCGCCTTTTGCCTCTCCTTCTCGGCACGCGCGGTATCCTGCTCCTCTCTCTGCTTCGTAAACTGCCTCGTCTCGCAGCCTCTGCACCTGGACCCGAACCCGGCGGAGATGTAGGCGCCGCACTTGGGGCACTCGATGATGCAGCCATCCTTGATGCAGCGCGCCTGGTCCATGCCGTGCTTCTTCTTCGGGCAATGATGTAGCGTGCGCCCGCCGGGATTCTTGTCTTTGAGGTCGGCTATGGCGTGCGGGTTGATCATGGCCTGAATCTGACGGTTGGACATGCCTTCCTCTTTGAGCATCTGAACGCGCTCGTTGTAAGGAACGGATGTGTCGAGGGCTCGCTCGCGTAGGATCGCCTGGGCGGCCGTTTCGACCGTTTCGTCGGGGAGGGCATTGGTTATGGCGAGGAGCCGGTCTGTAGACTGGGGCTTGATCTTGATGCCGTGGCCTTTCGGCTTGCCGCGGGCCATGAATGCATTGAGAATCGCACTCGAATACATCTCGACGAGGCTCTCGTGGTTGTTGTATTAACAAAGTGGTTCTATGTGGGTATATGTGAACGTATTTTGTGCTGACGGAGGAATTGACTCGGATCGAGACTGATATGCTTTCCGTTGGTTCCTTTGTCAGAGGATGCATCACAGCTAAGAGTAAAGGAGTCTACGATGACACGACTGCTAGCCGAGAACAAAGGAGGATGGTAAAGGAGATCTTAGTCCGTAGAATGTAGCCCTTTCAGGGGCTGAGAACTCCTTCTTGGTGCACATTCGTCTTGATACTCGATTTCATGCCCGTTAGTCGGTCTCCCTGCCCAAATTTGTTGGCTCTCTAACTTTGCCGTTTTGCCGAGGTCTCTGCCAACTTCACCCAGTACGCGGAGAAGCCATTTACGGGGGAGTACCAGAAATGGAAGGTCAGATTTAATCAACCAGTCTGTTCAGTCATGAAGTTGTGAAGCAAGGCCTTTGCTTTGTTAGACCATGAGCAGAATGATAGTTGACAAGAGAATACGTACCTCTTGAGCGGTCATCCTGCTCGAGTCGAACCGAACCATGTTGGCGACTAAGTCACGGATACTAGGGTCGATGTTCGGCAGGATGTCCTCCCAGGCCTTCCCCTCGATCGTTCTGTACATCTCAAAAGGCGGCGTCTTATATGTAGCGGCCTCTGGCCATGTCTCTTTCGTGGGCGTTCCGAGTGTTTTGAAGATGCTCAAGATCAACCCCAGTTGATTGCCGTCCTCGTGTGTTGGTCGTGACTCAAACAGGGGTATGGGTGGATAGCGACAGGCTTCGGCAAGCATGGTGCCCGTGGCCCAAATGTCAACACCAGTTCCGTAAGACTTGTCGCCGAAGAGACACTCCGGAGCACGGTATGGGCCCGTGCCAATGTCGAGAATCTTGTTATCTGCGGGCTCAGATATGATCGACATGTTCGGGTGCCACGCGGTGCCAAAGTCAGAGAGCAGTGCTGGTCCCTCCGGATTCTGTAGGAGAATGGCCGCTGGTTTGATGTCGCGGTGAATGATGCCCTGTGCGTGTATGTCCCTTAAGGCGGTAAACACATCTGTGAAAATGCTCCGAATGCAGGTCGCCGGCAATGGTTTCTGTTCAAGCACATCGGCGAGAGTGAGTGGCATGTATGGAAAAACCAGAACGAAGCGCTGCTCGTGGTCTCGGAAAGTTTCGAGTAAAGGGATACATGGCCGTTTGAGAAGGGCGAGAATTTTGGCCTCGCGCTGTGGGTTGTGTGGCTCAATATTGCGCGTTTCGACAATCACCTTCAGGGCTCGATCTTTACATCGAAAAACCTCCGACGTCACGCCTTCTGCAACTGGCATGCAGTTCTCATAAGGCCCAATGGCAATTCCTACCTCCGATAGATGGTCCTCGCCAGAGTCCGCAGCCTCGGCTAGTGGGGGTGAGACATCTCGAACCAGGCGGCAGGCGTCTTCATACTGTTTCTGTGCTTCAAGACTGTTATTAACAGCAGGTTTTCTGCCGATGCAACGTACGCAGAAGACCTTACCCGGCTGGCGCTAACCTTGAAAGCTTGGTTCTCAAGAGCAAAGGCCTCAGATTGTGCGGTCGCTGCAACCTCAGGATTTGCTCCCTCCAATGCGATTTTGCTGCCAACCAGTCAGAAAAGATGTTACATGTGGCGACTTTGAGCCTGATTGAGGATCTTTTGGCTTACATGCTTTGTATGTTCTCGAAGCGGTCGCTCGCAGAGACAGCGGACCGCCAGTCTGGCTCATCGGCCCCCATGCTTGCGAAGAGCTTATTTCTGCACAGCACAAGTGAAGGTCGATTATGCAGCCCTCCGATGACCGAAGTTGCGTGATCGGGCCTCAGCGTTCAGCAAAAAGGCGTTTTGTGGAGGTGCAAGGTATTGAGAAGATGGTCAAATGGAGGGATCAGGGAGTGTCATCTCTTTCAGTGGCTTTGACACCGTGCATTGGCAGTTATCAGTGGTTCAAGCACTGTACGGGTGGCGCTGTGGCCCAGAACAACACCATGCGAACCCGCGTTTTAGGTGGATCTCGGCAATGGCGATGCCTTCACTCTGCCTTCATCTAACGCTTCGTGCTCCGCATATCCCTCGTCCTGGAATGCTTGGCGACTTGATCCTAAAGCTCATTACGTCGTTGTTACCTAACATTCGCTTGAGTAGCCCAGCCGCCGAGCAGTCCATAGGTATTCCTATGGATTCAGTGCCCATCGAGTCCCTTCCACTGGCTGCGAAGGAAAAAGATATATATCGCAAAAGGTAAACTCTCTGATTTGTGATTTGTGACCGATAACAACAAACCAGCCTCAAAGGTCCCTCTCATTGTCCCCTCCTGGGTCCGGTCTCTTTTCTGGCTGGGTTCACCCCCCGACGTAAGGCGGAGTCACCTAGTGGGTGTTTGATCTCCCGCGATTCTCAATCTTTTCCTCGTCATAGTACTGAACTATAACTAGACTAATACAAAGAGGTTGTCAATGGCCCTTATCTTTGATAGGAGTGCGAAGATGGCCAGCAGCCTGAGAATGCAATAGTCAAAGTCGGTGCAAGAAACGAGACACAGATCAGTAGCACTGCTAACCCCTTGAGCTTCTATCCAATAGCACTTCGAAAGGCCGATTAAGCGCTGGGCCCCCATTGATAACGATACGCTGCCGCCAGACTCCAATTCACACAAGTCCCTGCGATCTTCAATCCAGGACCAGGGAGCAAGCCCATGCAGCAAACCACCTAGCTTGTAATGATGCCCATCCTCGGATCGTCCTATACTCACCAACTTGGGTGAAAGCGGCTAAAGTCGAACGACGGGCAAACAGCTCGACTGTTGGAAATCGGGCCGTTCGATTGCTTCATACGCACCACCAGATCAGAATCATGTCCTGTCGTCCTCCCCTGGCGACCAGGTCGGAAAACTTGTACGAGGAGCCATTAGAGTTCCCCGCTCCCTTCGCTCCCATGCATCCAGCAGTGCCGCCAGGTCTTGTATGGACGGGTTCTATTATGACCCAGCAGCAAGAGGGGCAATGCGCCGGTCGACCGGCCCGCGACAAGGATCCTCCCCGCGTCTTTTTCAAAGCCAAATATCCGACGCCGACGGAGGGAGGCCGATTAGGGAGCTGTCCGCGGCTCCCGACGTCAGTTGGCTTTTGTCGGCAGAGGTTCGCGCGACCTACATCATGGCGCATGTCGTGCCACTGATCCTCACCCCCCTGCTCCCGACGACTTGCTTTCCCCTCTCTGGGGGATGAGGGGGATCCATGTCGATCTGCAGGACCGACCAGAACAGATGGCGATGGACTGTGCCTGAGATCGACGAGCCATTCTCGGCCTGCCAATTCCGCCGCTACGCCACGACTTGCATGGACATGGTAGCATCCCGACGGGTTGCAATGCGCCGTGTGGGAAAATGGGGGTTTGGGAATGAAATAGATCCCGTCGCCCAGCTTGCACGGGGCAGCATTGAAGGGGATGTCGATCACATCGTCTGTCTGTCGACTTGCGATTCAAGACCATTGTGCAGAGCTTCGCAACAATGCTGCTGTCACGTCTCCAGATCTTGCCTTTGCTGGCTTCCACATGGCTCTCTGGAGTCAGTGCAATTGCCGCGGATGCGGGCATTCAAAGCCTCCATGAGAGACAACAGAAGATTGTGAGTATAGTCGGAATGGGTCGTATGCCCCAAGAGACCGCTACGTTCGGCTACCTGAACCTTCGCGCCTGCTTCAGCGTCGAGAATGTCTTGTACTCAGCGTATCTGATACTTACTCTTTCACAGGTCACCTATGATGGCAACAGCGTCTTGATCAACGGCGAGAGGCTGATGCTCTTCAGCGCCGAGTTCCACGCTTTCAGGTATGGGCTGTATGTCCTCTGCTGGGACCAGGATACACTGACAATAGATGAAGAATGCCAGTTCCCAGTCTGTGGCTTGACATCCTACAGAAGATCAAGGCCATGGGCTACAACTGCGTTTCGTTCTACGTCAACTGGGGCCTCGTCGAGGCAAAGCCTGGCGAGGTCCGCGCTGAGGGCATCTTTTCTCTGGAGCCCCTCTTCGAGGCCGCCCAAAAAGCCGGCCTCTATCTCTTCGCCGTACGTTCAAGCTCTGGTGCGACTGCTGCATGAGGGAAACAGCTGACCTAACTCATGGCAGCGGCCCGGACCCTATGTCAACGCTGAAGTCACCGGCGGAGGCTTCCCTGGCTGGCTCCAGCGGGTTCAGGGAGCACTGAGGACGAGCGATGAGGCTTACCTGAAGGCGACCGACAAGTAAGCACAGTGTGCCGCTGCCAACAGACGTATCTGCGCAGTGACTGACCTGCACAGCTACACTGCAGAGATTGGCCGCATCATTGCTGATGCCCAAATCACCAACGGTGGCCCGGTGATCCTATTTCAAATGGAAAACGAATACATGTTCGCCGTCGAGCCCTATCCTTTCCCTGACTTCAACTACTGGAACTACGTCGACAACCAGTTCCGCAGCGTGGGCGTCGTTGTTCCCTACGTCAACAATGAGGCATGGAAACTAGGCGGCGTCACACCTACAACTCCTGCTAGCGTTGACATCTACGGTTTCGACTCCTACCCACTCGGGTTTGACTGCTGGAACCCGAACCAGTGGCCTGCTCAGGGCCTGCCTACGGACTGGCTTCAGCGTCATCGGGAAATCTCCCCCAACACCCCATTTACGATTGTCGAGGTACGTTATGGCCCAAGCGGCATCTACAAAACCAAGACCCTAATACTAACGCCTCAAAGTTCCAAGGTGGTGGCTTCCAGCCTTGGGGCGGTGCTGGTTTCGAAAGCTGTGCTGGTCTGCTGAACCACGAATTCGAGCGTGTGCTTTTCAAGCATGCCTACGCTGCTGGAGCGACACTTTTCAACGTCTACATGGTATGCCATCACTGCTGAATCCAAGAATTACTCCTGACAGCCAATAGACCTGGGGCGGAACAAACTGGGGCAACCTTGGTCACTCTGACGGCTACACCTCTTATGACTACGGCGCTCAGATCACCGAGGAGCGTCTCGTCAACCGCGAGAAGTACAGCGAGTCAAAGCTGCAGGCGAACTTCTTCCACGTCTCGCCAGCTTATCTCGAGGCTGAACGCCACTTTGCCTCTCTCGACTGGACGGACAACGCTGCCATCACTGTCACTCCTGCGACGACGAACACCACAAAGTTCTACTTTGCCAGGTACGCTGGTATGTTACACTAGGTGCTCTCAATCAAAGCTGACCAGCCACCTTAGGCACACACAGTACAGCTCGCTGGAGACTGTGGCTTACAAGCTCATCGTGGACACTGTTGAATATGGAAACCTCACTATTCCTCAGCTGAGTGAGAGCCTGTTTTTGACCAGGAGGGATTCCAAGATCCACGTCAGCGATTACGCCGTCGGTGACAAGACTCTCGTTTATTCTACCGCTGAAATCTTCACCTGGTAAGCTTTACAATCTTCTCGACCATTTGCGAGCCCGTCTGACAATACGCAGGAAGCAATACAAGGACAAGACTGTCCTGGTTGTGTATGGCGGTCCTAACGAACACCACGAGCTGGCTGTCGAGGGCAAGGGGGATGCTGAAGTCATTGAAGGATCTGACGTTGAAACCGACCAGAAGGATGGCTACACGATCCTGAACTGGGAAGTCACGGAGGATCGCAAGGTCGTTCGCGTACACAAAGACCTATACGTCTACATCTTGAGTTGGTTCTCCCAGTACCACTCCCCCTCGACATTACTGACATGCAACAGACCGCAACGAGGCATACAACTACTGGGTTCCCCCGACCGAGGCTGATCTCGGAACCGCGGATGTCATCGTCAAGGCTGGTTACCTCGTCCGAACCGTCTCGATTGACGGATCTTCGCTCAGCTTTATTGGTGACGTCAACGCTACAACCCCTATTGAAGTCATCGGCGGCGCGCCCACCTCGTTGAAGGCTCTTGAGTTCAACGGAAAGGCTCTCGACTTTGAGCAAGATGACTCTGGTGTGGTGTCTGCCGTGATCGAGTTCAAGACACCCGACATCAAGCTTCCCTGCCTCAGTCGCCTGAAGTGGAAGTACCTCGACAGCCTGCCTGAGATTCAGTCCGACTACTCCGATGACGCTTGGCTGGACGCTGACAGAGACACTTTGAACATTGCCAACCCCCTGGACACCCCCAAGAGTTTGTATGGCGGCGACTATGGCTTCCACACTGGATCCCTTCTTTTCCGCGGACGCTTCACTGCCAACGGCGAGGAGGCCAGCAGCGGCAATGCTCTTGACCTGACCACGCAAGGCGGCAACGCGTATGGTACTTCAGTTTGGCTCAACGACCAGTTCATTGGCTCTTGGGTCGGAAACGCCGTTGCCCCCGCTCACAACAGCACGTTTGATCTCCCCAAGCTTACTGAAGGCGAGGAGTACATCATCACCGTTGTTGTCGACCACATGGGCATGAACGGCAACTGGGTCGTTGCAGAAGAACAGCAGAAGAACCCCCGCGGTATCCTGAACTACGCGCTGTCTGGCCACAAGCAGTCTGACATCGCCTGGAAGATCACCGGCAACCTCGGCGGTGAAGACTATGCAGATGATGACAGGGGTCCGTTGAACGAGGGTGGCCTGTTTGCTGAACGTCAGGGCTACCACTGGCCTCAACCTCCTTCGGATAGCTGGGATGATAGTAAGGGTCCGACTGAAGGCATCAAGGAGCCCGGCATCGCTTTCTACTCCGCGACCTTTGATCTTGATCTCCCCACTGGATATGACATCCCGCTCTCGCTCACCTTTGGAAACACCACCGATGTTGCGTACCGCGCACAGCTCTTCGTCAACGGCTACCAGTTTGGCAAGTTTGTTCACCACGTGGGCCCTCAGACTCGTTTCCCTGTTCCCGAGGGTATCCTCAACTTCCAGGGCTCCAACCACCTCGCCATCTCGCTCTGGGCCATGGAGGACGGAGGCGCCAGGATTGAAGGTCTCAAGTGGGAGGTCGGCATGGTCAGTGCTACAGGTTTTGGACCCGTCGAGCCTGCACCTCAGCCGAAGTGGCGTGAGAGGAAGGGCGCATACTAAGCTGCTCGTAAAAAGACCGCCAGTTGGAAAAATACACATGCTTGCGGATTCGAAGTAGATCCTAGCAGACACGGCTGTCTTCTGAAAACACATATCCAAGCTGTTCGTTTGCCATGTATGCCCCGCTGTGAGACTGCTCGGACTCGTAAACCTGCTCGGCGCGGGGTATCGCACTCGGAAGACCAGGTCCCAGCATTGACTGCCGGAGGAGGTCGGTCTATCCGCGACCTCATTTGCCCGCTTGTTGGATATGCGTTCCTGGGGTCACATCCTTTCCCCAAGTAAGTTACTTACATGCAGCATCCTAATTACCCGGCACCTTAGAATGAGGGGTATGGGCCACTCTGCAAGCATGTGTTGCCGGTGAACGTCATTTGTCGATGAAATCTATATAATGTATTGTACCGAATTTCGCCAACACAAAGGACAGCGTGATGCTGAAGAAAGGCGCTGCCGGAACTATAAACTTGAGGTTTTACAATGAAGCTGTTCGAATATTTGGCTTCTGCCGTTTTGCTGCTGCCAAGTACGCTTGACCCTGGTGAACAGGGCGCTCGTTTCCACTAACAAGGATCAGCAATTGTTGATGGCCTCATTAATCCCATCATCCCTGGATTCAACCCTGACCCGAGCATTATCAGGGTCAAGGATGATTACTTTCTCGTGACGTCGACTTTTGAGTATTTCCCTGGTGTACCTATTTACACCTCGAAGGATCTGTGAGTGCACGTCTGTCGTGCCTGAAATTTTATCACTCACATCAAACTAGTGTCAAGTGGGAGCAGATTGGGCATGCTCTGTCGAGACCATCACAGTTGCCGCTCCGCGGTACAGCGCCCAGCGGTGGAGTGTTCGCCCCAACGATCAGATACCACGACGGAATTTACTACGTGACGACTACCATTTTTGATGTCATCAGCCCTCCTGATAATGTAAGTCTTGGTGTCTGATCATCCACACCAACTATGCCCTCTGCTCACGCTCCAGGTCACTCGCGTCCCACGATCCTTCTATGTCACTACGGACAACATCTGGGACCCCGATTCCTTCTCTGAACCAATCTATGTTGACCAATGGGGCTTCGACCCGGACCTCTTCTTCGACGACGATGGCAAGGTTTACTTTACGAGCACCTTCTCCGAGTTTGTCGACTACGGCAGCTTTGCGAACCATATTACGGAGATTGACATAAAGACGGGCAATTCCCTCTCCGAGTCCCGTGTTCTCCACACCACCACAGTCCCCGAAGACGTCGGCTACCCGCTGACCGAGGCAAGCCACCTCTACAAGATCAACGGCACCTACTACATGATCTCCGCCGACAGCGGCACGGAGGAGAACCACTCGGCCAACAACTACCGCGCGTCTTCTCTCGAAGGGCCCTGGGAGGCGAACCCCAACAACCCTGTCCTCTGGAACGGCAGGGACCGGTCCCTGCCGGTCCTCGCGACGGGCCACGCCGACATTGTCGAGGGCACCGACGGCCGGTGGTGGGCCGTATTCCTCGCTACGCGGCCTCAGAACCCGCGCAATGCAACCGGCCGCCCCCAGCTCGGCCGCGAGACCTTCCTGTGCCCCGTGACGTGGGAGGACGGCTGGCCCGTGTTCAACGGCGGCGCGCCCATCACCGAGCACATGCCCGGCGTGCTGTACGACCTGCCGCGGCCGGCGAGGTGGCGCGATGACTTTGACGGCGGCCTCGCGGACGGCGCGTACTACCACCAGCGCACGCCGTACAAGGACTTTACAGACTTTGCATCGGCGCCCGGCAAGCTGCGCATCCGCGGCAACGTCTACGACCTGTCGCATCGGGAGACGCCGGCGGCGCTGTTCCGCAAGCAGGTCGACGTCAACACAACGTGGAGCACGGAGCTCAGCGCCTTCGAACCGTCTTCGGTCCGACAGGAAGCCGGCGCGGCAGTGTACCTGAGCATTCACTACCACAACTCGATCGCCGTGACGCGGTGCGAGGACAGCGGGGCCCGGTGCATCGTCGTGCACACGCGGACGGGGCCGGACGCAACGCTCAATACGACGTACATTGAGGACGAGGGCGTCGCAGCAGGGAAGCCGGTCAAGTTCTTCATCGAGGCGCGGGATGTTGGGTACCGGCTGGGGTATGCGACGGGATGCGGACGGCCGCGGTGGGTGGCGAGCGTCGAGAACCGGTGGCTGCAGGCCTTCGTCAGCGGCTGGCAGAACTTTGTTGGCACACATTTCGCCATCTTCGTCACGGGGACCAAGTTGCCCATTCTCAACCCGGCAGTAAGTCGTGCTCGCACGATAAGTCGCGGTCAGCTTAGGAGGGTGTTTACTGACTTGTACTAGGACTTCGAGTATGTGCAGACAGAGTTGATCTCGTCAAATCTGACCATAAAGGATTGAGGGTTGGATAGCGTACTTCAAGACCGACCGGAGGCACAATGTTGCATCACAGCTGTCCCGATAAGTGTTTTTGCGAGTATCAATAGCTGTATGTGAGGTCGAGTCCAAAGTCATTCCATAAAACGTCGCCTAACCTACTTAAACGCCACTGCTGTCCAAAGCATTAAAGAGTCTCTGCCGTCAAACATTGACGTCGCCGTCTGACAGGGGTCTTCTTCCGGTGATGAAGCGATAGCAAGTGATGAGCCTCAAATCCTTACTCCGAAACTCCCTCTTGACGCCCTCCATCAAGACGCTTGCCTGGTCCTGTGAATAGTTCCAAACCCGCGTGAACAGCGCTGGCGTATGCGAGTCGACCGACATTTGCATGTGCGTAAGCTCGTATCGTCCTAGTTCTTTCAAGGCTGGATCCTTGGCCCAGGGTCCGATCGGGATGCGATATACGACTTCTTTGACGTCCTCGAATCCAGCATCTTGCATCCATTGTTTGTGGAAACGCGCAATGTTGATAGGCTTGCCAAACATGTGGGACGCCTTGTCAAGCTTCTCAACCCATTCAGTTGTCCACGGAGCGCGCGCCATGCTGTCGTCGTCGCTGAAAACCCAGGCATCGTATTCTTGCATCTCGACGTACCCGCCAGGAACTAGATGCTCGCGCACGTTGCTGTAAAAGCGTGCCCAGTCACCAGAGGTGCCCGACAAGGCACGGCCGTGGATGTAATCGAATCGCTCGTCGGGGCCATAGGTCCAGGTATCTTCGTAGTCATCGACGTGGAACTTACAGTTTGGCGGCACCCAATCAGGCTGGATAGGAGATAAATCGACGCCGTAGACATGGGCGTGTGGGAATTCATCGGCCATGTCAATAGCCCAGATGCCGGTACCGCAGCCGAGATCGAGAATGCGGAGGGATCCGTCGGCTGGCGGATCCTCGGCTTCTGCTGGTGGCGAGGGCAGGGGCGCCGTGTACAGGCTGCCGCGGAGTAGGAGGCGCCATATGTGATGTTGCAGGTCGAGACGCTCCTGCTCTTGGTCGTCGTTGGGCAGTACGTATTGGCCCTCGCGATAGGCGTGGTATCGCCGACCATTCTCATACTGGTAGTGATAGATAGAAGAGGATACAGAGCCAGTGTAGTTTGTCGCACTGTCTGAGCCGTACGTCGAATCGTTGTCGTTGTCGTCGGGGCCATAGGCGTCCTGAAGCTGTTAGGCGAATTTGTGGGGGTTGGATGGGAAGTCTGCCACGATCTTACATCAACCTGTAATGGCTCCGGTACGTCTCCGTCGTCGACGGGATTGAGAATATCTTGCAGTGAATGGGCGGCCCTTGGCGAAGCGCCCTTGGGAGAAGATGCCTTGGGCGCGGAAGCCTTCGAAGAGGACGCCTTGGGTGAAGACGCCTTGTGCACCGCGGCTTCGGCATCCCCAGGCGGCTGTTCCAGCGGTGTGGTAGCGACCGAGGGCAGTGCCGCAGGGGGTGGTGTGGGGGAGGACATGGCTCGAGCACAGCACAGGGCTGCTCTAGGTCGGTCGCGGTGTGTCGATCTCTGAGGTCGAGTCTATGTTGGGGCCGAGAGAAGGACCAAGAGCAATTGTGCGACGATGGAACTGATTGTCAAGAACAGAGAGGTATGGTGCGCAGAGTCAGACAAAACGAGGCTAAGAAAGGTTATGGAGGAGAGGGTCCGGACGAAGAGTGTGGACCTTCGGACCTGCGGTCACGAGAACAAGAGTGGCCATTCAAACGCACTCAAGGCATGTCTGTCTTCAGGAAGGAGCATGAGCTAAGGTACGGCTTCAGCGGCAGGTGAAGGGCGAGATGGATGGCAATTCTCACAAAGGGAAGTGGATTCGTACGTTTTCCCCGTTTGGGGAAGGAGCACTGGCCGGGCGTTGCAGCGCCACTTGCACCTGCTGCAGGACAGGCCATTCTTGCCTTGCCCACTGTACCAAGTCGATGGGCCCGATCCACGTGCCTAGTGCCTAGTGCCTAGTGCAGTGGCTAGAGCAGGCGAAATCGACCGCTTCACGAACAAGACGGAAGGTGAGATACGCGTCCAAGGGGCATATCTCGATCGTGCCTTCTTTGCTACTTGTACCTAGGAAGGTAGGTGATGTGCAGTCAGGTTAGCTGATAAGTACTCTGAGGTAAAATACCCAGGTCAGCAATCGGAAGGCAAAGCAAAGCAAAGCACTTTCTCTGCCTCGTTCAACAGAACAGATCTGCGATGATGAGCCCCTGAGATCTTCGTCATCGCCTACGTAGATACACTCAATAGCTACCCCCGACAGATCTAGGTTCCCTAATCTGCTCCGGTGCCAAGGCCGAGCTGTCCCTGCTTTTAACCCTGAGCAAAGCTGATCAAATCATGTTCGAGGTGTGCAGCGCTGCACACAGTTGCGGGCACGGATCACGCACAACACAGTGTGCCAGGACCCCGGCACGGGCCAGCACCGGGCACCAGGCTCGGGGCTCCCGGCATCTGTGGGGGTGTCACACCTCCAGGAACTCGGTGACGAACGGTCATTCTTCCCCTGCGCGCCCAAATCCCGGGTGCGAGGCAAATCACAATCAAGTTTGACAAGATCGAGGCCACTTGGTCGCCTGAGAGGCATTGCAACTGGCCCAACCACAAAAGCAGCCACGGCGCTCCAGTTCCTTTGGACGCATCGGGTCACGTGCGTGCACGTGACCTGCTAACACAGAGCTATGACTCGTCTTAGGTAATCAAACGAAAATTGGACGCGATACCGGAGTAGACGCCGACTCATCCTCTGTCAGTGACTGTACACCCGACCTCAGCAATTACGAACGCAGTCAGCACATCATGGCATCTGGAAAGGCACCTGCAGAAAACATGCTTTGGGGCGGCCGCTTCACAGGTTGGTTTTTGCGTGCCGGGAGTTCGATTGCCATGGGCTGACCCCAGAATGACAGGCGGCCTCGATCCCCTCATGCTCCAGTACAATGCGAGTATTCAATACGACAAGCTCCTGTTCAAGGAAGACATCCTCGGCAGTATTGCGTTTGCTCGCGCAAACGCCAAGTCTGGCATCATTTCTAAGGACGAATTCACTGAAATCGAGCGAGGCCTCCGGGAGGTTCAGAAGGAGTGGGAGGCTGATGCCTTTGTTATCATGCCCAACGATGAAGATATCCATACCGCCAATGAGCGCCGGCTTGGTGAGATTATTGGCAAGGACATCGCCGGCAAGCTACACACGGGTCGCAGTCGCAATGAGCAGGTTGCCTGCGACATGCGTCTGTGGCTTCGCAACCAGATCGAGGAGATTGAGGGCCACCTGATTGCCTTGATTGAGGTGATTGCCGCCCGCGCTGAGGCCGAGAAGTAAGTCCGATGAGTACCCTCCCAATCCAGCAGTCCTCCTGACCTTGCTAGCGGCGTTCTCATGCCTGGATATACGCATCTCCAGCGTGCCATGCCTGTCCTGTGGTCGCAGCATCTGTTGTCATTTGGCTTCTACTTCGCAAACGATCTGGAGCGGCTGCGCGAGACTTCAAAGCGTGTCAACAGGAGCCCGCTTGGTTGTGGTGCTCTTGCTGGCAATGGCTTCAACATTGACCGCGATATGATGGCCGAGGAGCTGGGCTTCGCAGACATTCTATGGAACTCCATGAATGCTGTTAGTGACCGAGATTTTGTCACTGAATTCCTGCAGTGGGGCAGTATGTTCATGCAACATATTTCTCGATGGGCTGAGGATCTTATTCTGTATTCCTCTTCCGAGTTCGGCTTTGTTTCCATTGCCGATGCTTATTCGACTGGAAGTTCTTTGATGCCGAACAAGAAGAACCCAGATGGCTTGGAACTCTTGCGAGGAAAGGCCGGCCGAGCATTTGGCCACATGGCTGGCCTCATGATGACCCAGAAGGGCCTGCCCAGCAC